TAAGACAGGAAGTGCCAAAGGAATAGCAGATATTTGATGTCGTTCCTGTCTTCAAAATAGATGTTATATCTGAATATCAGCCAATTATCAGAGTGCCCGTTTGATCATGATCGCTTCCAAGTTGCCCACAGATATGATCCCACGCAGGAATACCAGCACCTTTGTGAGGAGAGCCGTGAAAACCAAGCAGAGTTCCGTTCGGGTCGTGGCTGCATTTACCATATCTCTACCTCACGACAACTGCTGGAGCATCGTCACACAGAAAAACAATAATTGTTGTTCTCATGTCTGAACGTAATGTCCGGCTCGGTCGCGCTGCTTTGTGGGGATGTCTATCTTTCAATGGTGTGCCACGCATTTTCTTCACAGTCCTCCAACCATCATACTATATACCTGCGGGCGCGTTAAGGTCTGCTGGGAATACTCTCCCAACATGACCAAAAGTGGTGCCCTTCAGGCTTACTGTTTGTCACCTTTTCTCCATAACCTAATAGTGGATTAATTAAGTGAGAAACTTTTGTTGTCTTTCACCCTAATTTTGGACCTTCTTTCCTGGGAAGCCCTTAAATTCATTGAATATTTGGCCAATGTTGCGCTACTTCTTTCAGTTTCCATTCAGATAAGAAACACACCAAATAACCTAAGTGATGTTACCATGCGTTTCGAATTGCGTCTCTCACCCTCAAAGTACGAAGTGCTATTATACGACTGGGCGAGCGCGCCACTAAAACAGGCTATGGTGTCAGAACCAAGTTACTGTCTGATTTCGTTTCCCCATCCTGCTGCATTCGGGGATTAAGGCGACCCGGTCGATGGCATGATTTCTTCTTCCAGGATGGGGACCGCGTGATCCTCACTGTGCCTTGTTGGAGACACTACAAGATATGGCTGGCACCCGATGTCAGTGGCGTTCTTGTTGTCAGTTTCTGTCCAGATTGCCTGAGTGAATGTCTGGAGGTGTAGGCACCTCGGAATGATTGTGTTAAGCTAGCACTAAGTCCCTCCCCATCCACCTTTATTCTTTTCTTTACAATAAGGCTTTCAAATAAGTCATGGCTGTACGGCAGTGAAGCATTGGTGTTGAGCACTGATGTCATGCTGTCGTTGATGATGATGATGATGATGATGATGATGATGATGATGATGATGATGATGATGATGATGATGATGATGATGGTGAATTTGGAGGAGGGAAACCACTGTTCAAAACCAACTGCAGTTCACTTATTGTGCCTTGCAGATAGGCTTCAACGTCCATCGGTTTTAAAACACCCCAAATCGCCTCGTTCCCGCTAATTCCAATGCAGTTGCGAGAACTGGCCAAATCTGTTTCCTCGCTGACCCGTGTAAACTGACGCCATCGGTGTTAAGCACAACGTTGAGCCGTCTTAATTCACTGCGCATGTTAGCTGTCAACCAGGCTTTACGCAAACCAATTCGCAATCCAACGTGGACATGAACACCTCCGGCAATAACTTTAGAAGTTTTCCTTGGTGTGAAAAGCAGAATTCTTGGGTCCTTCGGCAAATCAGGATGGTACCGACGCAGAACGAACAGTAAGATACGCTTGTACTTGAGGGACACCGGCAGATGCGCCAGAGCATAGCACATGTCCTTTATGATATAAAGCATACGAGATGTTTGATAACGTTGCTCCCAGAACAGAATTACTGCGCATTAAAAGGAGATATATAGCTAGATAATCTCCAAATTACTACCTACGTGGTGTTGGGTTGGGGTACTAAGAGGCCTGTTCTGCGGCGGACAACATAGGTTCTACTGCTGTGGAAAGTGCAGTCACGTCTAAAATGTTTCAAGATTGCGGGCATATTATTAACCCGCTATATATGAATCTACTAGACTGCGTTGGAGGAGAGCTTATACTTCCTGCATTTCTCGAATTATTACACCCGTATAGGTGCTCCCACATATTGCCGCACCCACACAGTAAACAGACTCGAGAAGAAAGTTCATTGCGTCTCGCGCAATGAAAGGCAGCATCGAACAAGTGGAGGTGCAGGCGCCTCAAAATGCCTGACATCGGCCATCACTGGGTCCCCTCTCTTACCCATTCTTTTTCTCTTCACTCTAAGGAGTTGAGTACAATTAAATGAACTTCATGGTTGTGCGGTAGTAGTTAATCAGTGCCAACACTGATGTTGCTGCCCTGATGATGATGACCTGACGGCGAAGTGGTCTATTTGGATTCGGGGCTAGTTCGTTGATGGGTACTATGTGATCGAGCGAATTCCGTTATTCTGGAAACTGGTGCTGCAAAGGAGCAGTCTGTGATTGACACATATGAAGTAGGCGACCACCGTTGTCCATGAATCTCGTGTTCACCTTCAAACGACCACACTAATCGGGTCACAGCGGCGCTTAGTCTACCTACCAGGGCGTTCATGTGAAAAGCAACCACCCGCCCTGCCATATACAGCAAGTAAATCAACTCAATTCAGTTCAATTTATCAACTATATACCGCGTGCCCTAAAAGGGAAAAGATAGCGTTCAGCTGTAGCAGCTTTCCGGTGCCTAGCTGCCATGCCTTTCGAAAGAAGCATGAGGGCTGGGATACTGCCAGGTTACTCAAGCCTAGACAGGGGAAGTCGAGAGGCGGAGGTCGGATTCGGAATCACGACCTTGCGGTCAATAAATTCGCGCTCTAACCACTTAGGCCATCCCGCTCCTAGGCACAGTTTCGATCACCGGAAAACGGGAAATTGGGATATACAACCAAGCGTTGGAGGCGAAGGCGAAGTTTGTTCGGAAATCGGGCAGCTTCGTACTGAAGACGACAGATAACTTCGATGAACGAGCGCCACTGACTGCGCGAGTGGCCGTTTATGCTGGTGTTACTAACCATGGGAGAGTTGATTCCTGCGGTTGCCTTGCTGAGATGCGGCAGTTGTCAGTCCGACTAAGCTTACTGGTTGATGTTTTCATAATTCAGTGCCGGTTCATACACTGTTCACCTCTCAGTCGCTTGCACTCAGCACAGGGATGGGCGAAAAGAGCTCTGCGAAGCAGGCTGTCTTCTGGCATGCGGAGCACATGTCCTAACCAGCGCAACCTATGGCGTGCAAGTAATTCATTTATCGTGGGAGAGTTCGTTTCTCCTGAGACCATCTGGCGTACTTCAGCATCACTAGTCCGATGTTTCCACCACACCTGACCAATGCTTCGGAGGCACCGATGGTCAAGCATCCATATATTTCGTATGCCCTCAGCACAGCACGTAGAGGCCAAGTGTCTGGTCCAAAAAGCAGTATGGTTCGCACCGAATCACGGCAAACTCTGTCCTTGGCAGACAAACTGACGTCACGTCGGCGCCATAGATGTCGGAGGTTGGAAAAAGCTGCTCTGGCCTTTCTAGTTCGAGGAATAATCTCATATCCAGCCACTCCACCGGAACTTCTACAGATGTCCAAGTAAACGAATTTACCTACACGTCGATTGGCTCACCTGGAAGCATGAGGTGTGGGTTTGATCTCACCCAGCCTTGTAGCAAGCAGTACTTCACACAAAGGGTGTGAAGTTCATGCCAAACCTTTCGGCAGAATTATTTAGGTCTGTTAAAATCGTTTGCATTTGGGAAGGATCTGAACCAAGGACAGCAATATCGTCTGCATACTCAATGTCTATGAGAGGACGCCCCAGGAGCATATCGGCCCCCGAAGTTTCAGAGGCAGGCAGAGAAATTTCAAGCAGCACATCAATAACAAATTTGAAGAGGAAAGGAGAAACAGGACGGCCTTGTCTTACACCACTGGACGTGGTGAACTCAGGCGAAAGCTTTCCGTATACTTGTACGCGCCCACCGGAGGTCGCAGACAGTGCCTTCATAAGGGAGAGAAATCTAAAAGAAACGTCTAATTGCCAGACACTGCCAAAGTTGCTGGCGGTCGACAATCAAAGGCAGCGTTCAAGGATTTGTCTAGAGGTGAAGATATGGTCCACCCTCGACCATGGTCAAACCCAGCTTGATTCTCACGAATCTGTCGATTCTCAGGAATCTATCTCTCCCGCGCAAACTAATGCCAGAGAGCACCCTAGCTACCACGATGGTTTTCTCATGGTGTTCTTGCTCTCCTTTTGAAAGCTGTGATGACGGTCGAGGAGCTCCATTCGGCTGGTATTCTGTTTTCGTTCCAAATCTCCTGCAGAATAGTCGTCAGACTGTTCACCAGGACATCGCTACCTTCTTTAAAGAGCGCGGGGTGTAGACCATCCGGGCCGGGTGCCTTGTCCCGCTTGGGGATTGAAATCTCGCGCTGGATTTCGGTTGCTGATGGTGGGTGGGTGTCAATGTTCCGTTAAGGCCCGCTTGGTTCTTCCAGCGGTTGTGTTGAAGGTGACCAGGTGAACTGCTCTTGACATTGCTCGGCCCACCGTTCAAGACTGCGATTGAGGGTGTGAATTGCTGTTCCTTCTTTTTTCGCATATTGTTCACAGACACCTGGTTCGACCAGTCGAAACAGGGCATGGCTGTTGCCTGCAGCGAAAGATTGTTCCATCTCCTGGGCTTTCGAAATTCACCAGCGTTCTCCGTCATTCTTCAAGCTCCTGATTGTCCGGTGTTTGAGGAATCTGCGTGTGCAATCGCTAGTTGCTGGTATGGCCTTTCTGGTAGCAGTAAGATCGGCTGATCTCAAAGATATCCTATGTTCATTGTTTTGAGCCGGATGGGCTTGACAAACAGTTCTGAAAGCTGACCGTATCACCCCTTTAACTCGCCTCCCTTCATCCTCCAAGCAATCTTCGTCGTGCGTGCGTTCCCAGTAGCTTTCTAGTCAGATAGGTAATCTTCAGCTATTGAAACTTGTCGAAGTTGTTGAACGGAGCTTCTCTCTCTTGGTACGCGTGGTGCTGGCGGAAAGCGAAGTGCTAGACGGGCCCGCACGACGGCGTGATCAGAGTCAAGTTGTGTACCCCAGAAGGAACGACAATCCTTAACTGAGGCTCTCCATCGGTAACTGATACCCATATGGTCCAATTGAGTTCATGACTGTCTTGTGGCAGGTGACCTCCAAGTAACTCGGTGTGTGCGTTTCAGTTGGAAGTTCGTACTGGGCAGGAGCAGACGATGATCTGAATATAACTGAAAAACGAATTCTTATCGCCCTAAATCACCAGGTGAAAGGTGAGACGTTTAGAATGAGTCCGAGAACGAGTTAGAACAGAGTCCAGGTTTTCGAGGATAACCAACGTTTTACTTGTCTAAGAACAAGCGTACATGAGCTGAAATGTACATACAAAAGTTCAGTACGAGTATATATGGTAAG